GTAAACTTCTGCACCCGATAAGATTTTTTTGAACGTTGAGCTGAATAGGTAAACAAAGGTGGTCAAAGGTTTATGAGGTCTTTGTTTGGTTAGAGACGAGGTGAGTGAGGGAAAGAGGTAATCCTGTTTAATTAAATTAAGATGTTGGCTCTAATTTTATTTAATTAAATTAATATGTTAATTTCAACATCTTAATTTAATTAGATGAAATGATTTTCTCCCTCCATTCTTTCACTCAAACTAAATGGATTCTTATTTAATTTTTTTTGTTATTTTTAGTTCCGTACTCAAAATAACTAAAATGTTTTTTTAATCATTGACATTTATGTCATGATGACAAGTTTGCAATTTAGGCGGACAATTTTTATTGGTGGTTGGGACCGAAAGAGGAGGAAAGACACAATCAAGTCTTAATTTAATTCAGTTTTCTCTTAATTCAAGCCCTTTTATAAAGACAAACAATTCTCCACCTAGGGGATTGAAAAGCTTCATGAATGCTCAAATAAATTACTAGCACTTATAGGGTTATTTATTTCTGAATTTATGGTACCTGACAAGAGCAATGGACAAGGTAAGAAAAGCAACATAAGATCTTATAAAGACTGGTAAAGGGTTTTTTTCCCCCTTAAATTTGCTAAAAGTTAAGAGCTTGGCATCAGCTTTAAACCACTATTCTGCTGTCCATTTCCATTTTAAAGCAAAGATTTTCAATTGACAAAATGTAATCACAGGACGTACTTAGATGCCAAAGTAAGTTTATAATGTAATCAATAATGTATCTATTCATATCACGGCAAGAATTAATCTAAACCCAAACTTTCAAAGTTGCATGAATTCATAAAGAAATTTTTATGAATCAATTGATTGAGGTTGTTATTCATTAGTAATATTATTCGTTTTTACCTATTAAACCTCATAAATTTAAATCACATGCTTAAAACCAATGGATATTAACTTATATATCTAACATCCTTCTTATGCTTTATTAACGTGAAATTTGCAATTGTTTGCTCCTTTTACAAAACATGTATTTTGTATTCTTCTTTTCCACGAAAACAAACTAAGAGAACCAAGTTGTTCCCGATTATTGTTCCTCTTCATAATGGCAATATTGCCTGCTCGTCCTAATCTTCTTTATCTTCAGCATTTTCTCCATCTAACAAAGCCATTATTTTGATTGGTAAAGCCACCCAACTGCATGATTCATATATTGTTCTCAGGTAGACAAAGATAGAGATAGGAGATGAATCACCTCTTTTCTCAAAGTAATCAAATTTGTCCAAGAGCAGTGTTCACTATTCGCATTGCAATTTTGCATTAAACGCAGCCCACCAATCCTGCTTGGATTTGACATATGTTTGCATAGATTTAGAAACCATTTTGCTACAATATTCTAACTGGAGTTATCTTAGCTTATACCATTAGATACATTTGTGGGGTACAAAGAATATGAACCCACTTACCCTCATTCTCCAGCCCTAACCACCAAATTTGCTTTCCAAATCCTTCTTTTTCCATTACTTGTATACATGCTTTTGTTATAGATCATCCATCCACTGGGAAAAGAACCCTAAAGAGACCAGGAAAAGGGTCTCTTTGTATGATCACGGCTTCCACTGGTCTCATATGAAAACTCTAAAAGTTAGTCTTTTCCCCCTCTCCCTTGCTTTTTCCCTATTCCTAAATTTTCTGTGTGTGTCAAATTTAGAAATCTTTTGCAATAAAGGAATCAAGTTTCATTGCTTAGCTTTTGACCATTTATGTTTGTGTGATACTTTTTTATTCCATTGTTCCGTAAACATGATTTCTCCAGAGCCAATTGAAATGAGTTCTCATGAATCACAGGCAGAGTAGGAATATTGATTTGTTAAATTGTAATGAAGACTAACCTTATGGAGCGGTTTAGAGTTAGCGTTATCGATTAGTTGGCAGATTAAGGTTGACATCGAATCTCAACTACCTGCAGTCCCTATATTAATAATAATGTTGTCCTATTCTTTGTTCTTCTTGTTGTAAAGGTGAGGAAGACTATTAATTTGTAGTTTCAGGTGTCGGATGCATGTTTCCGCTGAAAGGGATATTCCCTTTGAAAAACATGGAAAAAGTAGGAGATAGGAATATGGAATTGAAAGGCATGGACCACTAGGGAAAGCCAGAAATCAATTTGAAAATAGGATGTTTTTGTTGATGCATAATGACATTGTACAAGCATCAATACCTGAAAATCAACTGGGGTGAAAATGGGATATTGGTGTTACAAGAACGGACGCCACATTCTCAGACCCATTGCTAAAGGAGCATGTCTAGGCAAGTGTAAAGTTTAATTGGTCTCACATGAAGATTTTGAATTTGAACTTGTAGTGTTTTAAAGATTCTTCAGCACATTTAAAACCCCGTCTTGAATCTCTAGAAATTTGTCTAACCTCTTTTCTGCTGCGTCTTGGTAAGGTTTGCCTACAGTCTTCTTCCAGATTATTGACTGCTTCTGCAAGATGAGTTCCTGTGCAAAAGCATTCCCGTCTGTTCACCTTGTCAATCATTCTTTGTCTATGAGCTGGGAAATTTGAAATGGCTATGTACCCGTCATGAAAGCGATAACTCAATGATGTGTTGCTGATTTATTAAATTTGACGAGGGAGTAATCCATGAACATAGGTCCTTGGGAAATGAAAAGGTCACGCGGAATGTCTAAATTATGTTAGCACGAAAGCACTACGTCAACAGTGAGCTAAATTTTCAACATCAGGGAAAATATTATCTTAACTTGCTGATTGAGAGAATCTGACAAGGGACAACTTGTCCAGAAAGAGCAGTTGAACTACAAAAGGGCAATACCAGCATTTTTTTTATTCTCATTTTACCTCAGTAAAACCTATTAATTAAACTGTAATCATGTAGAAAAGAAGTGATTAGTGACAGGATAATATTGATGTTTCAGGGGCAGGCAGACACTTCCAACAATAATGATCAAGCATGGCTGCCCTATGATTTTACACTGCAAAGGATCTCAAATAACACTTCCTCCAAATATTTACGAAAAAATTCGGGCATCCAGGCTTCAGGAAGAGAATGAATAAAGGAACAAAAGATATACATACCCTCCAGCAGAACATAGGCCAAGATCAAGAAGATCTTCCAAAGTGGTAGGCAAAACATACATAAGAAGTTAAGCAGAGAAACCAGCTGCTCCTAGTCCACCAAAAGCCCCCCAGAACTGTGATTGAGGAGAAAATATTTTTCTTCAGGTTCATTGATTCACAATTAAAACAAAAACATTTCTCAATAAAAAGAAATCTTAATATATTATTCACGCATTAAAATGAAGATGTTTAAAAAGAATTCTACCATAAGTTCAATGAGATGATGAGTCCAAATAAATAGATATAAACCCAATCACATTAGTAAGGTACTTTTCCAAGCCTACCAGACTAAGTTCTAGCACAATCATTTAGAATACATTTCACAGCAACTTTAAAAAATAGTCAACTCACTGCTTGATGTATTTCTTGTTCAAATTGTTTGGAAACAACATTGGCACTGAATTTCTCTATCACTCTCAAGCTGAGTTGACCCAACTTTCTCAGCAGCTCATAGGTCTCCAAATGATTTTACTTATCTAGATAGACAAGCGAAGGCCATTTAGTGTCCAAAGATTCCATGTAAAGCTTTCCTTCATGAACATTATTTGATTCTAACCATCTCAAACATTCTCCAAGCACTTTCCGTATGCATCAGCAAACCATAAATCCAGATTAAGAGTTAAGTAGTTCACTTGTGCATCTGAAAAATTACCTTTGCTTTATGTACCAAAAAGTACGATCTCTCTTATAGGAAAGTACAATTGTTTCATGAACAATGTTTTCCACATGAATGTAGCAGTATATATATTCCAAGTCAACAAGCAGGTAGCACAATAGAATTCAGCAGCAATGACAGTTTAACATAATAACATGTGAACCTCCAGAATAAAAGCATGCTATGCCACATTTGCAAGTGTAACTAATCATACCTCACTTCAGTTAAAGGAGGTTCTGCAGAAATGACAATAAAAAGCAAATATGCACGAGGTACAGATTCCTCAGTTAACTGCTGTTGCCTGTGGAGAATAACATTAGTACTGGGTGCATCAACAATACTCATCTGCATTCAGGAAGAATAAATTAGTTCTTTCTATCACATAAAGCAATTACAGCTCTGGAGTAAAGATCAATTTTCAAGATGCTAATAAACAAAAATAAAACAGGAAAATGAAAAGAAAATGAATTTGTTGATTGATTTCCCACACTCTCCTATATGTCAAAAGCATTTTCTTCGTCTTCCTTACTAAAGTTTGTAAGAAATGCTCAACCAGCATGATTCTCTTCATTCCTCTCCAAAGTTCATCTGTTTTATGAATTGTAAACCCTAAATATAGCACCAACCATTCTAACAAAAAAATGGCCAACTCAGCCCCTATTTAAAGTGGTATCTTCACAAAACCAACTACTTATAATTATCATTTATCAAAGATTAAACTTGCATGTTAGATTGAAGAGAGAAATCATGCATAATCTATTGAATCAGAATGTGTACTTCTAAAATTGAAAGCAAGTTGGTAACATTTACGTCATATAGTTCATAAAGATAAGCTCTAGTGCCACTCTTTTACTAGGGACAGAGAAATCAAGCGCTTAACTATCCATAAGGGAGGACAAGACATCTGTAACTAAATTCAAGCATATGAATGAGGAAAAGCCAAAATGACTCACTACCTTAAGAATTGGAGCAGAAGGTAACATATTCATTGACCATCTGGTGGCTTTGACAACACCCTTGTTCCTCAGCTTCCAACTTAGAGTAGCATAACAAAGTGATTTCACTAGTTGTAGGAACAACGAACAACCCCCACTCTTGAGATATCTTTTTCCGAGAAGTGCATTGATGACAGTCGATTTACCAGAGTTAAATTCACCCTGCCAATCCCAACAAAGGTATAGGAGTCAAAGAAAAACTAAAACCCTTTAATAGGATTTGATAGAGGTCCAAGGCATGAATTAAAGACTGAGTTCCATACGGTGCAAAATGTTTCTATTTCTCTTCTGTTTCTATTCACTATCTTTATGAGAAACAACAGTTCACTGAACCCAAATTGATAAGGGAACTTCAACAAAAAATAAGGTGCATTTGTGCTCTCTACTGAAAAATGAGAAAAGATAGATAGGCATTAGATTCAAATATTTGAAAACAACTGATAACAGCAGAATAAACTTTGCAGCTTACTCCTAATGGTCAAGGCAAGATTTCATAATTCATTCAGTCAAATTGCTAATGAATATAAATCCATCCCGTGTTTCCAGTCTCATGACACAATGCACCCAAAAATCATTTGTTATTGTCAACACAAATTTGAGCACCTTTCATTGGGTAGCTCTTAAATGAAAGCCAAACTAAATATAAATGCCACCTCAGTTCCACACTACTCAATTAAAAAGATAAGGATTTATTAGAAATTTAGAGCTAATACCAATGTATATCCCTGGAACCAGAATTTGTTGAAGCTCAGCACACAGTTAGTACCATAGCCAGCAGAAACGGTTCATCAATTTGAGAAACTGCATCAATGAGAAGTGAAACCTCCTCAATCTGCCATTCAAAACCAATTGAGAATTTGAATTCAACAAAAGATAAACAAATGAATTTCTTAACAACATGACTGCATGCAGAACAAATTCAACTACCAATGTTTAATTAAAAGATCACCATAGGAGGAGCTTCTTGACAACATTTACGGCCTCTAGCTCAGTGAGCTCTTTTTCTTTATCTTCCAATTTAACAAAGCCTGCCACCCTTACTCTGATAGGAATCGTGATTAGTACCCAACATTTTTGACATGTTAAAACTTTGCAGCTCGTCCTCAGGTTTTTCATTGGTTACAGATACATTGTAGAGCAATTGGCTCAGAGGATCACTAAACAACTTCAAATCTTCCAATGAAACAACTAAACCGCTAGCACCTGATTTGAGAAATTCTGACAACCCTGTAATAGATGCAGCCTTAGAACCATTTTTGATAAAATTTGGTATCTTTACATTATTTAATACAATCTTTACTGGTTCATCAACAAATTCATCTACCCCCACATTCATACATAAGAAAACCAGCACCTTCAGAATTAGAAGCATTCATGGCAGCACTTGCATTCTTCACTTTCCTTGCCACCAATGGGAGAACTACTGACTCAGATTTGGAACCCATCATTGTGTTTCTTGCCACAATTGCAGGAAGGCCTGTAAGAGAAGGATTTCCAGATTAACATAAATCTCTGATGGTCTGATATTCACGGTTACAGGCCATACAACATAAGAACATAATGAAAATGATGTGTAAAACTTTCCAAAAAGGACGTTCTAATCTAGATGATGTTAAACGGATCACATACCATTTCTGTTTCTGAGTCTGGATCAACCTAAAGATTAAGTCTTGATATTCCTTAGCTAATTACAATTCGACTATCCACTTCATGGCAGCACCTTTAAAGTTAACAAAGCTCTCAATGCATTAAATTGTCTTAAATATCAGTCAGAATCAGAGAGAAAGGTAAAAAAATGAAACTTCAGATGCAATGTCAACCTTGATCAGAGAGCAGAACGCCGCAAGCATCAACAGTACCTGCAATGTCAACGCGCTCCGCAATAAAAAAAATTTTAAAAAATTAAAAAAAGGCACGATCCCTGATAACAGATTTCAAAACACTAGCAGCCTCATAAACCCTGCCGCCGCTTCCTTAAGCGCCATCGAGCACCACCACAGCGACAGACTTGGACACAGCATTGGCAATCAAATCAAGCTTATTCGGATCAGCCCCCGACAATACCTCCTCCGGCTCCAATTGAAGTACGAGATTGGGCACCTTGATCTCGGGGCGCTTCTAGCCGCCAGGAAACAGAGTCCTCGGAGGCCCCTGACTTTGCAGGTTTTGGGGGTCATACTGCTGGCGAGTAGAGTTAAGAAAAGGGTTGTTGGAGACAGAACTCCTTCGGGATAAAACAGTGAGGTGGAGATGGAGCTTGTTGGAGCGAGTAAAGTGAAGGGAGGGGATGAAGAGGAAGAGAGGTTTAAGAGTGCAGGTGGGTGTATGAAGGGAAGGGAAAGCAGGGGTACCATGGAAGTAGGTAGGGTTTGAAGAGGGCAAAATGATTATCTTTCTGGGTTCATTTCTTCATGCAGAGTGGATGTCTCATCCTCTGTTCTCTTCTCATCCTTTGAAACGAGGGAGGAAAGAGAAAGCAGGGATTTCCATCTCCATTTTTGGATTCGCAGGATGAACCCACGCAAAGCCCATGTAATGGAACTTCTCGTTGAGCCCAATGAAGGTCCACCGGTAACTTATTGGTAGGGATAGGAACTGCCTAAAAAGCACGGTAACCGGATTGTCACGCCGGCAACCCGCCGGAGGCCCATTTCCCTGACCACGGCAGCCAAAAATTGGTAATTGGTTATTACCGGTTAGGCTTGCAGTGGATGAATGCCATCTTTCGGAAATGGTTAGGAACACATGTTAAGAATGTGCTAAGGTTACACAATTTTTTTTATAAAGAGTCTTTTATGACATTTAAAAATATTAATGAAGTGATAGCCTTTAATATTTTAAGTAATAA